CCCGCGCCCGCCCACGCGCTGCCTCCGCTCCGCCTCGCGCCTGTCAGCCGCCCAGCGCTGCCATTGTTCGCGGCGCAGCTCCCGCCCCCTGGCGGCCGCCGCGCCGCCGCAGCAGTCGGGCTGCGGTACTAGCCGGCGGGCTGGGCCTCAGGGCGAGCGCCGTCCCGAGGCCTCGGGAACCGAGGCGAGCGAGTGCGCGGGCGGCGCGCCTGATCTGCAGTCTCCGCAGCGCGGCGCGACTCCCCGCCCCCTCGGCCGCGCACGGGCCCGGGCAGCCCCTTCCACACCAGCACTCGCAACTTACTCCCCCACCGCCTGACCCTGGGCTCTTTCTAGAGGCAGTCCTCGCCCCGATTCCCTGCTCATACCTTTCCAGGGCTCTGCGGCTACCCCTCTGTGCCGCGATGGGGACGCGCGACCATACCCTTCTGCTCTGGCCGCCGCTGTGCGACGCACGGCTTAGCGGATCCAGAACCTTTCCAGACTGGGGGAGGGAGGCGGGGAAGGAGGAGAGTTCACTGTCTCGCCCGGGAAACACTAGTGATCCCTGATCACCTGTTCGCCCACGTCGGTGTAGTGACCAAGCTTCCCCCTCGACCAACGCAGAAGCTTACATGAACCAAAAATGAGGCCCATTTTAAAACAGTGCCCTAGATCCTGGACTTTTGGGGAAAAGGGTGTCAGAAAACTCGAATTACTTCTTGATTCGTCCGGGTTTTGATGCGGGTTTCTTATGGCCAAATAACTTCCACCCAGTTAAGCCCAATGAAACACTTTAATAAATGGCACAAAAAATTAATCTAAAAATAAGTATAAAAATAAAACTTTTATCGTGTTCTTCACAGACTTACCATTTGCATTGTTCCGGGAGTTCCTTCCTACTACTGCTTACCTGCTTGAGAAATGTCTACTAGATCTGTTATTTCAGTCATCTAAAACCCGTAGTTCTGTCTACAAATGGGACAGTAGCATGGCCATGTTATCCGTGCATCTGTTTATTCTTTTTAATAAGAAACTAATAGGTAAATGTGATAATAAGTATAAAGACCTCTAGGTAGACCCTGGCAAATGATTGGTCTCGTGTAGCGCAACACTATGTTTCCTCCCAGAAATGTTTCCTATCTTCCTTTCCCCTTTCACCTCCACCAGCTCCCTTGAATTTAATTTTTTGGGATCCCCTAAGTCACCGCCACTCCTTGATTAATGACCTCTAGCTTCTCTGTCAACGTTTGAATGTTGATTTGGCGTGCCCTTCACACCGGCCACACCAGGGCACAAGCTCCCCACCTCTGTGCCTTCCTGTAGGCTGCTCTTTCTCCCTGCAACCTTGTCCTCCCCATTCAATGAACAAATCATCCTTGGAGGCATTCAAAAATCACCTCCCTAAGGGAAATTCTTTAAATCTCTCCATGCCCACTTCTCTGATGTGGTAGGGATGTTAGAATACTGTAGTTTGTTTTCTAGCCGGTCTTCACCTGCCAACCGTTGCATTGAAGGGCAGGCTGTCTCATTCGTTTTTGTAGTTTCAGCATGCAACAGTAAGTGGGTGGACAGTAAACTCCTTTGGAATAAACTGATGAGTTTATGCTTTGTAAATAATGCTTAAGTCTTCAGAAATTCCATTCCCTTTGATTAAAATTATTTATGATAATAAAACCACAGCTATCTTAAGGCCTGAATCACCTTTACTTAATTTGAATAAACCAAGGGTGTATGCACCTCCATTCCCAGCTCTCTAATTTGCTTGGAACTGCACTGAGGAGTATGCCCCTGATCTTCCTAAGAGCCATGCTGCAGAATCACCACTGGTTTTACCATGCCTTTCTGAGAACTTGTAGGAAGTATACTTTTGAATGCTCACAACTCTGTAAGCACAAGTTTTACTGCCAGAGAAAAAAGGAATGATCAAAAGACATGGGTCTCTCTCCCACCTCACATGGCCTGCTGTGGTTTGAAAGTATGCATCTTTCCAAAAGTCATTGTGTTGGAAGCTAATGCCCAATGTGACAGTATTTAGAAGTGGGGCCTTTAGGGGAGGGATCAGGTCCTGAGGACCCTACCTTCTGGAAGGGATTAATGCCCATAAATCCCTTCAGGCCAGAAGTGGTGGCACTTGGGAGGCTGAGGCAGAAGGACCACAAGTTGGAGGCTAGCATGAGCTACATACTGAAACCCTGTCTTTAAAAAAAACCTTCCCAGAGCTTCCACTCCCTTTTGCCAGTCCACTCTTCTGCCATGTGAGGGTGCAGCAAGAAAACCCTTCCCGACTCTAAATCTGTTGTTGCCTTGACCTTGAACTTCCCAGCTTCCAAAGAGAAATAAATTTGTTCTTTATAAATTACTCATTTAAGATATGTAGGTACTGCAGTACAAAATGGTTAATATAGCAAGGCATGGTGGCTGTAATCCCAGTACTCAATAGGCTGAGGCAGGATTGCTGAGAGAGGCCAGCCTGGACTACATAGTTCAAGGCCAAGCTAAGCCACAAAGTAAGACCCTGTCTCAAAAAATAAAATAAAATAAATAGACAGAGACAGACATGAATACAGCCTCTTAACATGGAGCTTTTGTGAAAAGACAGCCCAAAACAGTGAGCACAGTCAGTTAGCTGCTAGGCTCACTGAATTTTCTTAAGCCATTTAGGTCTTATCTAATATCCCTAGCTCAGGAATGGTCTAGCCCTTCCTGTTTCACTCCCAGGTTAGTGTCAATTTTCCATTTCTTTCCAGTGTCTGATAGAACTCAATATAGGAATTAGCCTAGCACGGTGGTCCATGCCTATAATCCCAAGGCTGAGACACGAGAATCAAAAGTTCGTGCTAGCTTGGGTAACTCAATTAATTAGCAAATCCTTGTCTCAAAATTAAAAAAAAAAAAAATTAAAAGGGGGTGGGATGGTAGGTCAGTGTGAAGGCTCTGGGTTCAATTCCCAGGACTGCACTGAAAAAAATAAATAAATAAAAAGGCATAGGGCCAGGGATTTAACTCAGGAGCACCACACCTACCTTGCAAGCATAAGGTCCTGAGTTCAATCCCTGGAACCAAAAAAAAAAAAAAAAAAAGCAGGTTCAATGAAACTGTCAGATTATCCTTGGACCCTCTAAAGACAGAATACAAAGTCAAAAACCAGTCTAAAAGATAGGATTAGCTATACAGTGTTAGGCATGGAAATTTGGGGACATATAAATTCCAGTTAGAGGTCATAAACAGCCCTGATCCAGAACACCATGTACTGTATCACAACTCCCTGGAATTATTACACTGGACATAAATAGATGCTATTTTGGTAGAAGATCCTTTGATTAAACATATTTTAAAAGCTGTGAGTTGAAGCTTTTCTGCAGAACTTCTCAGTCTTCTGCTAGCGTAGATGGGAGTCTCCAAGAAAGGGATAGGATGTGCTATTTCCCAAATACAGGTGACCATAGAAACTCTGTGGCTGGGAGCTCAGTCATGGAACACATTTCGGGACACACTAAGGCACGTTTCAAGGTCAAGCGGAAGACCTTGCCTGTAGGTAGAGCAGGAGGCAACTGAAATTTGTTTCAATTGAAAATTGTTTCGGGTAGGAATTTCAAAATTTCTGGTAAAACAAGATTGTTACATTGCTAATTTCTCCATCTATTGTTAATCATCAACTAATCATATTTTATAGGTCTTCAACTCCATTCTCTATTAGTTCCCATTTCCTTATTTCTCAAATCCAGAATATTATCTTGAAAGAACAATTTATGATCCATTAAAGCAGCACCAAAAGCAATCTTGGAGGAATGAAACTTTTCATTAGAAATTAGTCAAGAAAAATAGAAAATATGACATTGTTTAAAAAAATAAAGTTCTTTTTTGTTTTGTTTTGTCTTTTGGGCTTTTGTTGTTTTAGTGAGACAGTCCTGCTAAAACTGCTAAATTGTCCAGGCTGGGCTCCAACTTGCAATCCTCCTGCCTCATCCTCCCAAGTGCTGGGATTATAACATGTGCCACTGCGCCCAGCTGAGTCAATGCTTTAAAGCACAGGATAACAAGGGGTAGGGGAAAGGAAAGAAGGAGGGAAAAAAATATGAGAAAAGGAAAAAATGGAAACAAAGTCATTGTAAATAGGGAAGAGTGAAGGGGGTGAAGGGAGGACAAGGGAATGGGGAAAAAATAAGAATCAAGATACATCATGTAAAGGTACAAGATCCTAATGTTGAATGTAACTATATTGTATACTTAAAATGTACCAATAAATTTAATAAAAAAAAAAAGCACAGGATAACAAACTACGGCCTGTGGTTCACAGGTGTCCTACAGCCTGTTCTGTAAATAAAATTATTGAAAATATAGTCACATTTTTTCATTTTCATATTACTTAATGGCTGTGCTTATGTGTCTGCAGTTGAGTATTTGCAGTAAAGACTGTTCAAATTATCCAAAACAACTGAAATGAAAAATTTGCAAACCTCCCTACTGAAAAAATAAAATAAAAGGTGGTACTGCTCAACATTTAATGTATCTTTTTCAAAGTCATTTTTCAATTAGTTTTCAAACTTAAGCTTAAAATAATGCATTAACTATATTGCGCCCATGACCTTCTCCACATAATTATAAGTTTTCCTTTTCTCTTCCATATATGAATCTCTATCCTAAATGTGAAAGACACATGGAAACCATTTCTTCAGATTGGTACTTCCAGTTTAAAATAGCAAACTGAACACATTCGTTTATCTCACATCCCTCCAAAATTCTAGCAGCGAGAAGCCTACAAATTTAAAAGGCATAATCCCACAAAGACAAGTACAAGAAAGGTTTAGCTTCATGCACTAAGGAAGATGAAGCCTAACTAACCAATGAAAAACAAGCTGATATTACAAAAATAGTCCTGGCAAAGTTCAGGAACAGAGGCACCAGATAGCACTTGTACCAGGTAAAGTAGCAGACTTTCCACATAATTGACTGAAAACTCTAAGAAGTCATTAAATTCATTTCTACCCCCATAGCATACAGCTCAGCCACTACTGCTCAGTTCCCATAAGAGATGGGTTTATCCTCAGGAAACTGTTCCAGAAAGGACCAGGGTCTCAGGAACACCAGGTATATTATAGGCAGAGTGCACTGACAACAGGGAATTTGGTGAAAATGAACTGTGCCGGATGCATGAACCAAACTGTTCTCTCACTCTGGCCAGCTGCTTATTGCCCTGCAAAATTTATTCTTCCTCCATAACTGACTTATTGCAGGGCAAGTGAGATGTCAGGCAAGGAGCACATTTCCATGCCTATCCCAGCTAGTGTGACCATCTGACTAAGCTCTCACCAGAAGAATAAATGCAAACATATTCCTGCATCTTTTCCCTTTTCCTCAAGCTGGAACATGAGCTGGCCTGAGAGGCTGTTTTACCAATTGGAAAAGGACAATGCCCTAAAGCCATGGTTCTTAACCCTAAACAGGGATCAAAATCACTCAGAAGGCTTGTGAAAGTGCTAAGCACC